TTTAATTGGGCGGCCAATTAAACTTTAAAGATTTTAAGGATTTTATAAAATTTAATTTGGGGGGGCTGGGCTGGAGGCGGTGGTCTGGATCAGTATACTATACAGAGAGCCTATCGCCAAATAATACATAAAGGTCTTTCGTACAAGGATCTATAGCGGTTGGTGTGTCCTGCGCGTGGCCACTTGATGTTGCTGCAAGTTTCTTCGCGATCCACATCGTTTGGCTTGGTGTTTGATGGGACGACTCAGAGCAACTTGGGAAATTGATGGCCCTGCAAGGATTCTGTCTGCGCGGCCATGAAGGACTCAAGAACCTGGCCCTCGTTTTTGCCAATGGTGACACGCAGTGCTGAGCTATGTGTAGCATGCCATGCATCTATGCGAATGCACATGCGGCGAACGCATGCATGTAACCGCAAACGTGTCCTGCTGGGCCGTGGCAGAGGATACCGGAGGCATGCCGTTGCCACGGCCACCGCCTAGAGCCTGTGGTCGCACGGTGCTGCGAAAGCAGTGCCCAACTCCACAGCAGCCCAACAATTTTGCACCTACACGCTGTCACAACTAACATGTGAGCAATGATTGTGTTGGGGACCGTCCGGCCAGAGGATTCTGACATACCACAACATTTATGCACAACGCAGCAGACAGAAATGAAGGGTCGGGAAGCCCCCGTGTGCAAAAGTACAGATAAGGAGCATCTGCTTGGATGCCAGGATCTGCGGTTGGTGTGTCCTGCGCGTGGCCACTTGATGTTGCTGCAAGTTTCTTCGACGATCCACATCGTTTGGCTGATGCAGTCTGGTATCTGATGGGACGACTCAGAGCAACTTGGGAAATTGATGGCCCTGCAAGGATTCTGTCTGCGCGGCCATGAAGGACTCAAGAACCTGGCCCTCGTTTTGCCAATGGTGACACGCAGTGCTGAGCTATATGTAGCATGCCATGCATCTATGCGAATGCACATGCGGCGAACGCATGCATGTAACCGCAAACGTGTCCTGCTGGGCCGTGGCAGAGGATACCGGAGGCATGCCGTTGCCACGGCCACCGCCTGGAGCCTGTGCTCTTGCAGCTGTCGGTCAAGTTTTGTAGGCGGCACGATATGAGGCTGTTTCCCGACCCCAACAGGAACTAGATCTTGTTCGTGGTCTTTTATTCGTAGAACGCTTTCTTTCATTCCTAGAGCAGTGCATAGGCACGGATATCGACAAACTATACAGTAGATGGAACTCAAGGACTTTTGCAAGTGGAGCGAACCTTGGCAAGCACAACAATGCACAACTCACAGTATCGCCAAAAGACACAGGCGCATCTTGGTCAACCACGCTACCGCCCTCACGCGAGGCAGCTTCTGGTTGCCAGGGAGTCTCACGGCTTATGATCGGCATGACAGCCGTGTGCTCTTCTTGATCAGCTGGCACACCAGAAATGGCAAGTGATATGATGCAAGAATGCGAAAACCTGCTGGAAAACAATATCATCCAACCCTGAAGCCCGATCTGTCCACAGCCGCCCCGTGAGTGTTTGGGTTTTCTTGCCGAGAAGGAGCTGATGCAGGCGTCGTAATTGGCGGCCCCCGTGCAGGACACGGTTGACTGTGAACTTCCACTGAGAGAGTTCCCGCATGCCATGAAGGCGGCCCGGCCCACGTGGAAGGCGAAGACTGAAAAGCCTGGCAGGGTGACGGTGCCGAAAATGCCCACAACCTTCATGACGCATCTCCCAGCTACCCCACAACTGGAACAAGCCGAGCTTCGATGCTGGGGGAACCGTTGATTTCCTCCGAGGGCGTCATGCTAAACGAGCACTACCAAAGATCATCCCCGTTACATGTGGAAAGCACATCTCAGCCATGGCCTTCTACACTCTGGCTGCATGCGTTGCAGAGAACCGAAGGAACGAACGGAGGAGACAGCAGCTCTGTGCCAACCAAGCGTCGACTGAGCAGGCTCCCGACATAAATCGCTGCATCCGTATCCGGTCATCGGGAGATAAATGACTGAGCACGTCCATGTCTATAGGCCGTGTAAACGTCCGTGGGCAGTCTCTGTAATGGGCTCCATGTGTTGCCCACACGTGGACGGACGAGTAAGCAGGGGCAGATGGACAGGGCCGGTCGTGAATGGGGTTGTGAACCCAATGATGCTCCACAGCACCAAGCCTCACCTCAGGGATCGGATCGCCCGCCAGCCGCACCTGCACATGTCCATGCAAGACTCCACCACCTGCACCCATCGCTAAGAACTCGAGCAATAATGCTGCCATGCAGATATCACAGCAGCAGTTGGACCACATCCATTCTGTCTGCACTCCTATGGGGTCCGGGCTGGTGCCGTTCAGGTCCTGCCAGCTTCCGATCATGTGCTGTCTGTCAACATCAGCGATTTTTCTGCACACACTTCGCATGCTGCCTGTCGATGCTGTCAGCTGACTTCTGTGACTTCTCGCCGCATCGCCTTCTGCTCTTCTGCACCTGAGGCCATCAAAGTCGAAAGTCAAAGCACGCGCGCGAAGCTGCAGAAGCTGCCACCAGTGAAAGCGCAGCTGCCTCCTGTGCTTGCTTCCTGGAGCACAGACCAAAGTTTCTTCCTACCGGCCAGCGAGCTGCAAATACTACACGCAACCAGAGAACCACTCGCTGTCGCTTCCAGGGTGGATCGGCTTTTGCATCCTGTGCAAGCACCTCGGCAGAAAAGCATGACAGGAAGCGTCTTCATCTTGACAGTCTTTTACGGGCCTCGTCGGGTGGTCTTGGCGAACCTGCCTGCAGCACAGTCGCCAAAAGCAATGTGCGGCGCAATGCGAGACGGAGCGGTTCGTGAGGGGACGCCTGAAGGCTTGGGCCGCTTGGGGCAGCTGAGTCCAGGCATTTCCGCCTCGTTGCAAAACCCCCCACGAGGACTCGGGTTCCGCAGTTACTCCATGCAGGCCACCAGACTGAGATCTCCGCCACAGCTCCAACGCTGCGAGAAATCGTCGCATCCATGCTATCCTATCAGCCTGGCATGCCACCTGCCTGCAGCCTCCTCTCCTCTCTCGGGGAAGGAGGGAGGGGGGTCGGGGGCCTGCCTCTGTTACAGCGATGGTGGGCTGCTGGACCTGCAAACAAGTGACGCTTGTAGTTTAGAGCCGCCTTGTTCCAATCCTAACTGTGTCGTGCTGAGGGATAAGATGAATGCACCGTTGCAAATTTCTGCAGACCAGCCTGTGTGCTTGATTGCCTGAGGCAAGCGGTTCATGTATCAGTGCAAAGGCAATTTTTGCAAAGGTGACGCCTCGAGGCTTGCGAAGCGGGCCCTGCATTTCAGTGAGTGCAAAATTTTCAGTCTGTCAGTTGAAGGAGGCCTATCAACGATTGCGGCGGGGGCTGCTGCATGGCGGAGCAGACATGGACGTCTGACTATACCGAACTTTGCGTTTCGAAGCACCGGAGCAGCTGCGGTCTTTCTGCAAGCTGGCTGAAATTGTGGGACATCTGAATCGGATTTGGCTGCTGAAAGTCGTGAAATCTTGCGGTCTCGATGCTGAAACTAGCTTGCGGCACGCCCAACAGAGCGCGCTCCCTTGCTCTCATTCTGCAGGGCCATGGAAGGGCTATTGTATGAGGTCTGCTTTCGGTGTGCTTATCGCAAGGCGGAAGCAGCCGGCACCTCGGCACCCTAACAGCACAATGCATGGTATCTCCGTTTCTCCCTTGCTTTCTTTTTGGCGCAAGTCAATCGCCACACGACCTGCGCGATCAGTACGGCAAAGCAAAGACTGCAAATCGACGTTCCAAACCACATGCGTCCCTGGTGTGACAGACAAGATGGCGTTGTCAGGCTTGAAGTGCCTGGAAGGGATGAAAAATATAGTCTCCCCAATATCTGCGTCAAATTCGCACTGAAAGCGGTGCTCTTGAAGATTGAAAGCCTGATGTGTCGGCTTCCCTGCACATGCCAGAAGGCAAGGACGCACGATGGCATCCAAAGCGCGTCCACCGCCCTCCCCCAGAATTGAGAGATCTTCACCATTCCAGCCGTCCCCTCTTGCCTTAGAATTCTCCGGGGTGTAGTTCCACCAGCAGTATGGGAGAAAGAGCTCTTCTAAGGCCCGCATGTGCACATCAATGGCTTGTCTCAAAGCATCTGTTGTTGCCATGCCGGGGGACTGGATATCAAAAGGAACTCCAATCTCTCCAAGCATGCTGGCAGTTTCTTGTGAAGCCAGTCTGCACTTCTGCTCCAGCTGCCTCTTGTATGATGCCAGTCGTTCCTGGAGCCCGAACACTGGAACAATTGGGGGCGCAGGAAGCAAGCCACCCAGAAGTGTCGTGCCTGGCTTGGTCTCCTCTATTCCGAAAGCTGGAGTCCATGTCTTGCCCACGAGCACAACACCGTCATAAAAGTGCGGTGCCCAAAAGGCTTGCACTGGCATCTTTTCAGGAAACGGCTGTTGACCCTCTTTTCCAAACGCTGGTGGACAAACACCGATGAGTGCATGTGGCATTTCGCCAACCACTTTCTCAGCGAATCTCGTCACGAACGGAGCAAAGCAGTCCGCCAACCAGTCGCACTCGAAGCTCGAAGCATCGAGCAATTCCTGGCTGAGTGGATCCCACACGCCGGCCTGCGCCCACAAGCAGGAAGATGCCCATGGCGACCCCTCACCGGGTGCACATCGCTGCAGCTGCTCCAGCGGGCTCTGTCCTGCGAAGGGAGAGCGAAGGCCGAGACTCCCTTCAACCCAAAGTCTTGAGGATGGGAAAACCAATTCCTGCTGCTGTGGATCATGTTGTTTTCTCGGTCATCATTCCTTAATTCTGCTGCCGCAGCGATGTTGTTGCAAGGACAGCGGACGCCCTTTGCTATGCCTGAACGACACGCTGATGCATGAGTTGCCCAATCAGTCCTGCTGAAACCGCCCCGAACTGCGCCTTGGTGAAGTCGCTCCTTCCTGTCAGCCCAGGCGCATGAAGATTGCAAGAGGCTTGCGGCAGTGACTGGACCAACACAGTTCCGGGCCTAGCCATCCAGGATGCGGTTCGTTCATAGTCTCGAAACCCAAGACGGATGGCACATGTTTCACACTCCTCGAGCGTCTCAGGGGGCTTCAGACGTGGGCTTAACCTGTGCCACAAGACGATAAGCACTCCTGGCAATCTGAACCATCGCATTGATGAATCCATCTTGAAGCAGCTGCTGAAGTGATGAATCACCTGTCATGCCCAAGCAATCTGAAACTGTCCCTCTGGAGACCCTGAACTCAGATGTACTCTCGACCCATGTCGCTGGACATGCATCGCCGCATAGCCGTTTTTCCGCGCACCGTACCGCTGCATCTTCCCTTAGGGAGATACTTCTGGCAGCTCAGGACGTTCTGGCTGGAAGTGTAGAGCGACCGAGCAAAGAGTCGAAAGTTACGGCTCCGGTGTTGCGAGGATCCAGCATCGACCAGAGTCTGCACACATTACCGCAGTATTTCACACGTCTACAGCCCAGCGAAAACTGGGCGAAATCCACGCATCCATAGTCGTCAATGTCAAAAGCTTCCTCCCAAGCCAGGTTCAAACTGCCATACTTAGAGAGTAGCAGCTTGTGAAAGTCCATTAGCACGATCCCTCTCCGAGCTTCGCTCCAACTACTAACCAAAGCAGATGGAAGACAGTTCACATCGCCGAGCATCTCAAAAATCACCCCTGAAATCTCCAGCTCATCCCGATTCCAGACGGCATCGCTCCACTGCAACTGTCCACCTTGTGAGCCCGGCTCCAAGTGTAGCAGGTGAAAACCGCCTTCCCTTGCACCAGGTATAGCGAAGGCGATGCGTTGAGACGGCGTAAAGTCAGCGGGTATGGAGGCTAGTGCTCGGTCTTCCGAGACATGAAAGAACTTCGTGGACGTTCTGCCTTGCAATATCCCGAATCGCTGGGAACCGACTTTGCAACTGAAGAGCTGAATTCCATCTATCAGTGGGAAGCCACCGTGCATGGCAAATCTGATGCCACTGAGATCTAGGGCACATCCTGGCTGCAAACTTCCCAGAATCATTCCCTCGCGGTTCACTGCAACCGTTTTCAAGGACAGCTGGGAGTTCGGCTCTCGGCAGAGTACCGCAAATATCATTGCAGAACTTGGGTGCACGGAAGAAGGCAGTTGACAAATCACACCAGTGTATGGGGTTGACTGAGTGCGTACCACGAGCCCTCTGCACATTACTACATTGGAATCTATCAGACAGAAAGACACCGGACTCTCACAAAATAATTTCGTGGCGTCGACATCCAAGCGCTTCCATGGGACCTCGTGCCCGAGCCTGAAACGTAAGGAGAGAGAGTTGACGTAGACTCCGCGGAAGAAGTTGTCTTCTAATTCTTTTACCTGCACAGGTACCCACCTGAATGGTTGGTGAATCGCAAACTCCTGGTCCAAGTCCACATTGCATGTTTGCGGAAGGCTGTTTTTGAAGAGTGACTCGTGTTTCGGTATCTCTGCCTGCCGCAAACATCTGTTCCGACGCAGCAGCCATGAGCGCAAGTTCGCGCTCTGTGCTGATGAAGCTGGTCTTAGGGCCTGGGGCACCGATAAACCATCTGCGGCGCCATGCAAGGCTTCAAGCGGCTCCGCATGCTCTGCCCATGCAGCCCGCGCCGTTATTCGGCGGCTGTTGCTATAGCCCAGCGGAGCTCGAGCAGTCCTGGGGTCCAATTCTGGAGACGTGCAGTTTCAGGCATAATTACTCTCGCTCACGTCCCGTCCTTGCAGGAACTCCATTGGTCACCTTGAGCGGCAGCTCGTGACATCGACGGGCGCTTGACTTCAGTCCCTTCGTGTCCATTGCACTCGCTCGATCTGCACAGTCCGTACATTGGCAGTCCCGAAAAGGGCAACTGTTGCTGGAACCAGCTGGAGCTAGGCTACTGCTACTGCTCGATTCAGTGCGCTTATGCTGATTTCATCTGTGCCAGGTGACCACATGAAAATTGAAGGCACAGGGCCAATTGCCACCACATGTCATGACTGTGTCGAGTCTCTTGAATCAAAACAAGGCTTCGGTTTGGCAAGGGCTTCTCACATGGGCGGGCAGCATTCGCTACCGTCCATAGTCGCAGTCCATCACCCGGCTTACATCAAGTGTTTGCAGGTGCCTGTGCCAACCTGGCTCGTCACGGAAGGAGCAACCCGATCGCCAGCCCAGAAGAGGCCTGCGCGCCATTTCATACGGTGAACGCCCTGCAAGCCAGTTTAAGTCCCAGGGGCTAAACATCGTTGCGCATGCCAGTCTGTCGTAGTTTGAAGGCCATGACATAGAAGGCAATGGATCTCCGTTTTCTTGGTGTAGAAAAGCAGCCCCCGATTTGTGAAGAGCAGGGCCTATATGGAAGCCGGCAGCCTGCAGCAATCAGGAAGTCGGGCTGATGGCAGGCACGACAGACTTCGGCTAAGGTTTTCTTTGGGAATCTACTGCCTCCAGTGTCCAGCCCGGAGCACCATCCCCACCTGTCCACCTCGACCAACAGTCTTGATGAGGATCAATAACAATCCAAAATCCATAATCTGCCGCTCGCTCACAAACCCTTGCAATGAACTGAAGGTATTCACCATCGTATATGCCAGGTCCAGCATGCTCCACAGCTTCCCAGGTGACAAGCAACCTCAGCAAATTATACCCCCAATCGGTCAAGCGCTGCAGATGCATGTCCAAGTCCTCAAGGGAACACGGGCGGCCAACGAAGGATACTTCGCGATGCTCATAGAACTGCGGTCCTCGAATATGTGTAGCGCCATTCGGTGTCAGGGGTACCTTTGACAACCCTGAAAAGTTGATGCCCTTCGGTATGACGATGCGGCCCTTGTCGTCCGCAAAGTGGCTTCCCTCAATTCTCAAGCGGCCGGAAGATGGCAAAGGTGCCCTCTCAACAGGCTGGGCCGAGCCGAACCGTTTGGACCTTCTTCGCCTGCGAAGATCCGCTTTTCCGCAGAGTGAAGCCGCAGCAGCACAAGCGACTCCAGCATGAGAGCAAACGGGCTTGATGTAGCAAACTCGCGGCCTACCCCGCCGAACGCCCACTGGCTGAGGACTCGAGGAGGAGCATGAAGTCCATGATGTTCCAAGCTGAAGCATTCGTCGGGACAAGGTAACTTTCGAAACACGACCCTGAGCCGCTTTTGTCTGACAACACTGACGGGTCCGTGCTCATGCAGTGGCGAGGATCCATACACCGGCGACAATTGGCAAGACCTTTTTCGTAAAGCCGTCTTTGCAGCGGCTAGTATGAACCAGCCACCACAGCATCAATTGGCTCGCGGTCCTCGAAAGCACTCGATACAACGGGTACACACGATACAGTATGTTTCCGGTAATGATTAAGAAAACATATATGTGATGCTCCGCCTTCAAGAGCCTCTTGGATGAATAGGCCAGATGCTCCTGGAAGAGGAAAGCCTGCCATATCAGGACAGCACAACCCAAACAAACACTTCACTTCATACTCCTGCAAGGCGCAGCTTCCGCTTACATGTCAGCGTTGCATGCATGTGCTGAAGGGTCGTCATTGCAGCTGTCGTTGTCCTTCCGGATTTGTCCGGAATGGCTGCGCTGCGCTCAAGATGGAAATCAAGCTGCAGCTCAAGCCTGAAATTCTCGATGGACTTTGCCTCTCGAGCCTGACGACCTTCGAGCACATCCTGCGCCATGCCTGGACTGCGTCCGGAGTGCACTTCGTGTTCGGGCCACGCAACTACCTTTGCTTCGCCGTGAGGGGGTGCGCTGCGCTTCTGCCTAATTATTACCTAATTACTTCTAGGAAGCAGGAACGTGTGGATTCCATCGACATGCAAGTCTCTAGTGCACGCGCTTGACATCTTGGACATGTTACTCGACCTCACTTCCGGAGGCGTGCAACCGGTCCGGAAACTCTGCTGATTCGTGGCAGAACGGCCACGGCCAAGATTGTGCCCTTGCCTAGCTCCGAAATATCAAGAGCTTCACAACCATCGCAGGAACGACTGAACGACAACGACAAGGCTCGAGCGGGTTGCGTGTCAGCTGCAACAACCAGAATGAGCATATATCATTCTGCATGCTCATCACGCAAGCAGTTGTGGAGCAGCCAGCCGCGGATGAGTTCCATAGCTACTCAGCTTTATTGGCCTTCCTACAACACTCGGCTCTTGATTCATCAGTTTAGCACCCCCCCTCCCCCCTGCACAAAGCAGAGACTGCTGTGAACCTTTCAACTTAGACCCCCCTATCCCGCAGACTTGACTGAAGCCTGCTCCGCGAGCTGTCCTGACTTCCCGACAAGGGCCTGAAACACTTCCTACCTTCAACTGTGCGTTATCCTCATGAGCTTCCTGATGTTACCTCCTCCGGGGGAGGTTATCCGCAGTGCTGGGCACACTGGTTCGAGACCAGCTTTGAAGAAGGTGGCAGAATATTGCCAGCGGTGAAAGGATGGAGGATCAAAAAAAAAATTTAAATGGATCAAAAACAAATTTAGGCTCAACCGATCAAAAAGAAATTGAAAAAGGATCAAAAACAAATTTACGGTTGGGGGATTTGCTGCAAAAAACAGCACGGCTGCTGGGCATCGCGGATCAAACAAAAATTTAAAAAGGCTCA